CATGTTCAGGACGAGCCAGCCTGGAAATCTCATTTTGTGGCTTGACATGTCTTCTGACTCAGTCAGCAGGGCTTTGAAACAGAAGGGGTTGAGGAATGGGTCCTGAGTATGCTCTGCTTTTCCTCCACTGAACCAACCAAATGGAGACCTGTAGTTTCGAGAAGATCCCTATATTTGTTCGAATGGGCCTCAGGTTTTTGGGAGTGTAGCGGATCGCCGAGCTGAGGTTTTCTGCCATTGCGGCACCTTGTCTAAATTTCCCTCCTCAGGATGTGAGATTCAAACGCTTGGGCAGCACGATTTTTGAGATTGTAGCCAGAATTTGGAGTTCTCAACATGGCCGGGCCCGTAGGAATATCAGGGATGTATAACAATTATGAAGCTTGTAGGGGTCCATACTCAGAGTTATTTTGACAAATTTGAGTTTCTGACAACCTCGATGCTCGTAGGATCGATATACTTCAGTGAAACCGAATTCCGAGGACAGAATAGTGAGGTTGCTACAGCGACGCTCTGCATCCTACCCAAGGTGGATGCATATCCGCATGAACTACCAATAGGATCAAGGGAAGGCAAATGGGAAGCGGTAGCACTGCCACGTACAGTATTTCAGTCAGCCTGCGGCCAGGGAGATAAGAAAATGGAGGCCGGAGTCAGGATGTAGGGGGCTGGGCTCTGGAGTGTTCATGCAGGCAAACAGGTGGTTACGCTTCGGTAGGTTCCGAGCCTGGGCTTTTCTGGCACGAGAAATTCTGAACTTTGGCTGTGCTTTCTGTGCTATTTAGTCATGTATCAGTCTATGAAGGGCAGGTTCATGAACGGGTGGCTGCTCTGATCATCTACCTGAGTGTGTTTTCGCGAAAAGGAGGACAGTGGTGCTGCAGAATCGTCCGCCGTGCAACATCTATGTCAGTTACGGACAAGGTCAATGTTTGGACCCGGCTGATGATTTCACGAATTCACTCGAGTTGCTTCTAGTGGCACTGCAGCAGACTAAGGTGATGTGCCGTGTGCACTCCGTTGTGCTTTGGATACTGGTTGCGTTCGAAGTTTGCTCGCTGATGCTGGTGCTGGCATTTCAAGGCCCTGGTGTGCTTCTTGCCTATGTGCACACCCTAATTTGTTTAGTCTAGGTTCTTCGGTTGTATGCATCTGCATGGTGATGACAGTGATGAGGGTGATGCTACAGCGTCTGGAGTATTCTGGATCCCCGCAGGTGGCTTAATGGACTTCTTCGCCTTTGATCATGCTGCTGTCTTGCAATGAAGGTCTACAATACATTAGCCTATCTTTTGTTACTTCCTATTCTGAGGACAGTGTCATCATACCTTGACAATTGTAGTCTGTATCCTGGCTGCTGAGGTTAGATATGGCATGTACAGCGTACCCTGGCCGCCAGATGGCATGATTTTTGAGCGTGCGATGCGTTGAGTGTGCGTGCCGCAGGATCAAAGCATATGATGTATTGAGTTGGCTGCTACCTGTTCGAGAGATTTCGCTCCCTCAAGCTCAGGGTAGCGTGTTGCAATACTTGACAGGAGCCAAAACTACGACTGCTCACAGATGACATGAAACCTCAACCCTGGCTCCCTCTTGGCTTCAATTGAATCCACTTGTTCAGCACTACATGCAACATGCGGGATTTGTACAATAGCCTCACAGTAGCTGCTTGATCTCTGCTCAGACTGCCTGACTCTGAAACTCAGCCCCAAGCCCCCGGAACCGCATGTCTAGGTTGCCATGCTGATCATTATGGCGGGAGCATACTTCTTGGATGTGTCCTAGCCTGCAGAAAGATTTCCGGTGGAACACCGTCCAGTAGGGACCATAACTTTGGCGCATACCTCCTTGGAGGAATCCTGGACCCAAAGCAAGATCATAGCTTTGCAAGATCCCTATGAGATTTCCGGCCACGGCATAAGGAGCAGACGCGGCTTGATTCCTACGAGCAGGCCAAGTGGACCGCAAGCACAAGAAGAGACAAGCAATGAGCGCTCCTTGTCAGCCCCACCCAACACCCCCCAAACAAGGCCCAAACAAGGTCTAGGATGGCAGTAGAATGTGATTCCGTCAATTGGGTTAGTGTTGGACATACATCTCAGTGTAAGCAATGCCATAAACCCATGCGGGTCAGAAAGAATACATGTTCAGTTTTGCCCCAATTAGCTAGACATATCGCCTCATGCATCAACCTTCTTGTTTGGAGGTGGAAATGAAGATGTTCATCTCTATGGTTCAGATTCATACTCATGTCCTGACAACTCTAAGAAACGTATGCATCAACAATGAAAGAAATCAGGCTATCGGGGCAAATTGTGGGGAATGTCGGAACTAGTAACTCGAAGCAGAGCAGCAAATCCAAGGAGTTTATACCTACCATTCCCTGAAACAAAAGGATCCCAGGAATTGGCACAACTAACCTACTAGGTGTCCTTTGCAAAGCAATAATTTCCAGCCAAAGGAACATAACCTTACAGAGATGTACCAAAACACTCCAGACGGCCCTAACACAGATCCAGATTAGCTTGATCTATCATGCTTGAGGTTTAGACGCACCTAAATGCACTTGTAGAATGATGGTGGACCTTGTGTGACCACGTAAGCTGTCCCGCTTAACTAGCGGGGCTTACATTGCATTCTTGGGATATTGCCGCCCCTATCTGTTAGTGTTTCGGCTCATTTTTTTGGTTAGTTTGCATGGTAGGTCGCTGCCTGCGCAGTTCGGGGAATGGGATTGTTCTGTACAGGCAATGCTTTTAAATTGGTTGAGTGGAGTTATCTTCAACCACAAAACCCAACATCTACTAAATGAACCCAACTCGCAATCCCAAACCCACACGAAAACTCAAACCCTAGCGCCTCAAACTTTGAACCCTAATCCCAAAATCTAATCCTTGGATCCAAACCCCTAGACACTTCTTGGAGCCTTATAGTAGTTTCTTTCAATTTGATTCCCCATTATTCCTATATAAGCCCTATATAAAACCTCTATAACCCCTGCATTCTGTGGCTGGAGCCTGCCAGGTGATGTCGCTGCAGGACCAGAATGCAACCCTGGCAGAGATGATGCTCAGGTGGAAGGCGGTCCCCAGCAATTTGGGTTTCATTCCGGTTTGGTTGTTTGCATTCAGTGTTTAGGGCGTAGAGTTTGAGGTCTATGGTTTGAAGTTTGGGGGTTCGAGGCGTCTCAGGGCTAGTAGCTTTAGGGTGCAGGGTTGGTGGTTGGGCTTGAGGGTTTTAGCAGGGACCGCATTTCAGTGTGAGTTGCACGACAACATATTTCAAATGAACTGAGGGTATGCTGGACTAACATAAAGGGCTGTACAGGGATTATATTTGCCATGTATCTACCCTATTTCGATGAGAGCTTCAGCCTCAGTGTTTGTGGGACTTTGCAGGATCATGTCCTGAGGTTTTTGCACGATGTTTATTTGTTCGATGGTAATCCGGGACACGGGAATTCACTTTGCGTTGCCTGCTCTCTCTCTGAAAAAATGCGTGCTAATTCCCAAGCATTTCTAGCCATCACAAAGTTATCTCTATTTGTGGAGAGAGATTGTGCGCTATCTTACATGCCAGATCCTGACCGTCAGTGGCGAAGATATGCGCAGTCCCGGGTTTGTTCGAGGATTCATGCGTGTTCGTCTCTGGGGCCAGCCTAGGCTCCCTGGACCAAGCCATGAATCTAAGAATCCCTTGACTTATCCTTAAATGCTAAACCCTAAACCCTAAACCATGTTGGCATCTTCCCAAGCACTTGGCCAAAGAGGTCTTACCCTCTGTGGAGAGCGGGGGGATGGAGAGCGCCAGCCTTCAGAGTAGCAGCGCCGTGCAACAGGCTGCGGTTTTGATTGGTCCTGCCTCAACAGGATGGTTTAGGATTTGGATGGCTCAGGATTTAGGGGTTGAGGGTTTAGGGGTTTAGGGTGTAGTGTGTAGTAGTAGCAGCCGCAGTAGCAGTATCAGTGCTAGCAGAAAATCTGAAATTTGTAAATGATGTGGTGTCTCCTCTCAAGAGCTTATTATGTTGATTCCTTCAGCAGCGGAGGACACAAAGGGGGGCAGCAGTAGTGATGATCGAGAAGTGGCAGTCCACTGAGCTTCAAGCCAGTGCTGCTGTTTGCAGCTGAAATTCCGCTTCTTGAAGCCACAGCTTGGATACCTTTACCTGAGCTGAAGTCTAAGAGCAGGCTTTATAGACATGGACACAACATGCATGTGCAACAAGCTTTTCTTCGGTTCCTACGACCTGTCAACTGTAATTGTCAAAACTGTGGTTCACATTTTTGACTCTGAATTCAAAGGAGATTTTGATCAGGGCCCACCTGGTGAAAGGATGAGTCCGTGAATTCCGTCGGCAGTGTCAGCTGACTTGGCCTCAGCGCCTTGTTTTCGTGTGGGTTGCATCATGGTGAGGCATGAATTTGTGTGTGGAACCACTTGCGTTCGTGGATCTGAACACTTGAGTGCCTGCGCCCAGGCACCGCCCAGAAGCCTCCGCTGGTTCGGCACTTACAGTAAGGTCAAGCGCTGGTGGCCACAGTGCCGTCGCCCAAACTTTACATGGATGTGCTTATCAAGTCCGCGGAATCTTGCACTGGGCGTCCGCAGTACCACCTGCAAGCAGACAACAGTCGTAGATGCAATCATGAAACGGCACCCTATCGCTCTCTGTGTACCATCAGAATGCGAAAGTGGGACACAGCAAGACATAGCGGGACTTGTATAGTCATGTCCAAAGCCATGGATCTCCAAGTGCAGACAATCAGTGGCGATGTGCATGCAGCCGATACCTCAGTGAGGTGCTTTGAAAACCAACGGACCTGTGACCAACAAAAATCCACTGTGATTAATCAACCGTGTTCTACGTCTTGAGATTTGGCTTATTCTCTTCACAAGTTTCTATTCGACACAGTTCTCCAGCTTTCTGTGTTGGGACCTCAACCAGGTCACCATTGATGCACGTCAGAGCCTCCTGGCCCTGTACGAAGCTGCCGGAGGCGCCTTAAACGTCCCGCCTTGGGAGCTGCGCCTCACCGCTGATGGCAGCTGCTTGTCACCACGTCGTTCTTCAGGAATGAGAGTGACTAGAAAGGGGCTACGCAGGGCTTGTCCAGATAGGATCATCTGTGTGTTCTTGATTTGTTTCAACGCAAAGGGTTTTAGAGTTCGGAGTGTAGGAAGCAGTTGAAACTTTCTTGGGTGCAGGTTTTTTTGAAAACGGCTAGATTCAGACGGCTGCCTCTTTGAGGCAACCTGAAGCAATGAAGCATTGATTAGACAAGACATAGCGATTTCCAAGAATCGGGCGGTAGCTCCTGATTTTTGGAGACTGTTACTCCGGGTGTCGGGAGCTCGCAAACTTTGCAGCCAACATGGGCCCATTTGCTCAGACAAGGCTTTCTTGACCCAGTTGGGGATGCAGAGTCTACTCTGGAAGCTCTTGGCCTCAAGGAGGAACATGCAAGTGACAGCACGACTTAACAAAGATGAGGACATGTAGTGAGGTTTTCACCCAGGGGTATTGTATATCTTCATGAGGAGCCTAATGACCTCATTTGCGAGTTTTTGCAGCTTTTTTCTGCAATTCAAGAGCCAGTCTTTCGCTATTCTTTGCTCATGGTCTGTCTCCAAAGTACTGAGCTTGAGCTACGAGCCTATCAACTTGGTGTGGTAACACTAGGGTCATCATCCAGGCACATGGAGCAAGGGTCATTGCTGGATGGCCACTTGACCCAAGAGTATGTTGTGGCTTTGATGTTGCTGCTAGTTCCGCTCGTTGTGCAGAGGGCATCTATGCCCTTGGGTGCATTCTGCTTGCCGGGTCCTCCACGGTCCTCCGATTACTTGCATACTGACGGTTGAAGTATGCCCTGCCTGTAGGTGCAGCAAGCCACTAGTTGTCTTGTGCTTCTGGCTGGGTGTTCTGATGTTGTCAGCTAACATTCTTGAAGAGCTGACATGCCCTGCATAATGGCAGAAGGGGATTCCCAGAAGCCCCGCAATTCATCCTCTGCTGCTACAGTGTTATTGGGTGTGGTGCTTAAGCCTGTAGCAGTAATTGGGACGCTCGGAGTGATTATGATTCTGTGATGATCATAGTTGTCGCAGTGTTGGCAATCCAGAACCGGGTTGTGAATGAATTTGTCTTTCCTGAGTCACGTCACCGCTTTGGAAAGGCAAGGGAAATCATGCAATCCGTGCCACGTGTCCGTGCCACGTGTCCGTGCCACGTGGATTTTGCAGTTGTCAGAACATGCAACCCTAAACCCTACCCCTGAATAGTAGATTCCGTTTTCTTTTTCCATTATCCCAATATATCCCCAGTATAACCCCTAATGTTACCCCAATGGATACGCTGCAATACAAGGGTTGACAGAGTGCTGACCTTCCTGGACTGTTGTCATGATCTAGTCGTGCAGCTGCCTGCAACAAGACTGCTCACCCAAAAGTGGAAGTCCTCCTCAGACAAGTGGTAGTTTCTCTAAAATAGGGGACCCCAATCTAGACACCAAAATACTACAAGTTAGGGATCCCCAAAACTTGCCACTCATTTGAGAAACCCCTATGTGTTGCCCGGACATGAAGAACGACGTGGGTTGTAAGCTGCGCCCGGCGCAGGATTCTGAAGTGATGGTCCTTCGCAGCAGTCCCCGCGTGCTAACGTCCCTTGTCCTACTGGTGCTGAAGGGGGAGTTGGGGAGTCTCCCCTGAGCACCAGATTGTTGGCAGGTTGCAATGCACATGCTGCTTTATCTTGCTGGGGAGTAGTGGGGAACCTCGGAAGTTTTTCTATAGGGATTGTATAGGGATTATATTCCCTTCTTCGCTAATAAGAACCAGTAAGTTTAGGGCTGTTGGGCATTTGAGTTTTTCTTCGGTGTGACAGCCTTACGGAGCCTTGTGCTTATAACTGCAAGCGCTTTATGACCGCATGCATGTCGGATCCGTTTACAGAAGCCTGTAAGATGTCCGAAAGAGTGCTAGTCCTGGGTGAATAGCTAAGGAATCCTGGTGTGAGTGCTTACAGTGCAGAGTACTGCTGCACGGTGCTTCAGGCGGCGAACCAGAACACTCCACTGCTCTGAATCCCAATTTCCCCAGACAAGGAGGGCCCTGCAAAATGGGAATAGGACTTTGGGGAATACTGCGGTGGACGCACAAATGAATCCATTACGCAGCTGATGATGGCTAACATTTGTTGACAAGAAAGGAAGTTGCATCTTCTTGCTTTAGAAGAGCTCAGAATTGAATTTCAGGGACAGGGTTGTCTTCAGCACTGGTCCAGGAAAACTTATAGGATCCAACAAGGACTCCAAGCAAGTAAGAGCGGCTTGACCATGATCTTTTTGTTACCTTAGTGTTTGCAGCTTGCAGTCGGCTTTGGAAGCGAAACAAGTATTTTAAAACCTGCAGTCAATTCCAACCAGCCCTATTTCTTACTGAATTACAGGTCTCTGCATTATTGCCATTTTGTTTGCAGGCATGAAAGGCTTGGATTTTGCAGATGGATCGAATAACCTGACATCCTCTCGCCATAGCCAAACATTGTCTCTGTACTGTGTTTGGAAAATCTGTTACTTCGATGGGAGACCTCTGCTCTGCTCGGGAGGTGTTGATGACACCACTTGTTCTGCTAACCAGGTGCGCCAGGCTGGTTGGAAGACCATCGAGATCGACTTCAGCGTCCGTGGCGACGGATCCCTGGGGCGGCTTCAGCGACCATCATTCTCGAAGCTGCTTAACTTTCCTGATAGTTTAAGCTGCCGAAACCGATTTTAATGCGCTCTCCGTCCCAGGGGTAGATACCTTGTGTGATCTTCATAGGGCTTCAAGAAAGATAGCCGTGCACTCTGAGCCATTAACACCGGCCATGAAGAAGCACAAGTGTTACTTGGCATGTAGCTCAAGCTACTGTCCACACTCAGGCATGCCTCCCCAGGTTTTCGTTAAACCGTCATTACTTTTACGGTTCTTCGGCTGTGCACATGGGGATTACTATTGTTGATTTTGTCAGTGTCAACTACTATCACCATCCATTACATTCACTACTCGTGCTGTTTGTACTGTTTTTCCCTTCCTGCTAGCATTATTGATGCGAATAATTATGTGACACTTCAATGCTGATTCATTCTTGGGAATGCTTATATGACACTTCAATGCTCATTCATATGATTAGTTTCCCCTTCTTCACGGCTATAAGCATTATTGTTACTAATGTTCCCATTGCAATTAAAGGACCGGGTAACCTCACATGTGTAGCTTTACCGAAATCTAAACGAGATAATGGAAGAGAGGAGAAGAAGGAGGTAGAGAAAGGATAAGAGGAAAGACAGTGATCGGCGGCGAATCAAAGAATCGCGGCGTGCTGCGTGGAATGTCGCCGCAGGAGCAGAAGGAGTAGGGCAGGGTGAGTCGCTTTACAGACGATATTGCCTGCATTCTACATAGCTGGTAGGTATGTGGTCGGTAAAAGTCGGGGATCGTTGTTGTAAGTTGACAAGTGACCGAATTTGGTTTGAACCTCCAACTCACTCTTTGAATAAATTCCCGAGTGACAGCGTCTGAATTTGAACCCTCCAAAACCAAGCCCAAGTCCTGCTTTGACTAAGTTCCCAAACAACCGCCTCTGTTTTAGCCGCCCCAAGCGCCCTTCAATAAGTTCCCAAGTGACTGTGTCTGGTTTGAAGAACCCTCCAAAACCAGCCACAAGTCCCCCTTTGGGTAAGTTCCCAAATGACCGCCTTAGGTTCGAACCCTCCAAAGCCAGCCGCAACTCACTCTTGGAATAGATTCCTGAGTGACCGCGTCTGGTATGACACTAAAAATGCATGGGCAAAATCTGGTGTGATCTGCGCGCCTTGCTGTTTTCAGAACAGACATGCGTGCAGATCGTGCATGGTTTTGTCCAGTGAATTTGGAAAAAAGGCATGGGCAAAATCTGGTGTGATCTGCACGCCGGTCTTTTTTCAGCAGGCGTGCAGATCGCACCAGATTTTGTCCATTGAATTTGGGAAAAAGGCATGGGCAAAGTCGCTTGTGATCTGCGCACCGTGCCTTTTTCAGAAAAGACAGGCGTGCAGATCGCACCGGATTTTGTCCATTGAATTTGGGAAAAAGGTATGGGCAAAATCTGGTGTGATCGGCGTGCCCCTAGATTCCAGACCAAATTACAACTTCAAAATTATTACTCCACCTGCCAGCGCTCCCAGCATTGAAAGCATCGATAGGGCCGTCGATTCCAAACAGAATTCGCAGGACGCTCCACGCGCCAGCGCTTCCACCCACCGAAAACAGCGAGAGGGGCGTCGATTCCAATCAGAACGCGCAGGAGGCTCCACGCATCAGCGCTCCCACCTGCCAAGAACAGCGAGAGGGTGGTCGATTTGCTCAGGATGCTCCACGCGCCAGCGTATTTTCTTGATGACATTCGACGATTGTGGGAGAGTGCGTAAGACTACTGTAGAGGCGACTCGAGGATCTTTTTTTTTTTAAGTCAACGATTTCGGGAGGGTCCGGAAGATTTGGGATGGACCTCAGGCGTGACCGAAATGTCGCCAGATAGGTTTGGAAGATTATTTCAAAGGCCATTCGGGGATTTTTTAGATGAAAAATCAACGATTTCGGGGAGGGTCCGGAAGACTACTTCAAAAGCGATTTGGGGTCGACTTCGGGCATGGCTACTTCAAAGGCGATTCGAGGATCCTTGTATTGAAATTCAACGATTTCGGGAGGCTCCGGAATATTACTTTAAAGGCGAGTTGAGGTTTACTTGAGGCGCGACCGAAATGTCGGGGGACAGGTCTGGAAGACTACTTTAAATAAAGGTCGTGATTCGACGATCTTTTTTTTTGAAGTCAACGATTTCGGGAGGCGCCGGGCCGGCGGGCGACAGCATCTAACAATTAGAACCCCACATCGAATGTGGGAATTATTGGTTGTGTGTAACGGTAGTTAATCGTATTGCTACGATTATTGTTAGCACCAGTCGTAGAAACATTTCAACTAGATGATTGCTACTATTGTTTCCTGTTTCTTGTTGGGCCCGCATAAGGTGTTGTTGCATGCGGTGCTTAAAGTCTTCTTTCTTCACAATCCACATCCTGAACGTATCATTGAGCCCAGCACTCCATCTACCGGTCATGGCCATTGTCAGTTTGAATTCTCCCACATGCTTTCAAGAGCCCTCTTTGATTATCAAGCATCTGTGGAGTACTGAGGCTTTCCTGGAAAGGCAGCAAACGCATCCTTACTCGCAAAGGGACAGTCCCGAGCCCTGATTTTAGAGTAGATTTGGATTGCCAGCGGATGCACTTTAGGCCCGGGCTACAGAGTCTTCCATGGTTGTATTGACCGCGAGTGCTTTCGTGTTGGCAGGGGTGGGTGTCTCACAAAATGAGCCATAATCTAAATTAAACTCCCTGAATGAGGTTATCTAGGGTTGTTATAGGGGACTACTAGGTTTAGACTATGGCTAAAACCTACCCTCAAAGTTTTTGACATCCCATGAGCTAGGTGAAGCTGACAGTGGACAATGCGGAAGATGGCGGTCCTTCCCACAAGCAGGGTACCCTTACTTTCGAAGACGTGCCAACTTGCGGCCAGGTGCAACTGATGCCGTGTCATCATGTTGTAGTTTGTTGGATCTTCATGCAGCAGTACCTGAGTACGAGTACTTGGTACCACCATCTCCTCTTCGACTATGTAACTTGCTCACACCACCACACCGGGCTATCTACCTCTGCACGAAAAGTGCAAGCCGCAAGGTCTATGTTTAGCCATGATGTTTGTGGTCAAGAGCTAAGGCTAAGGTTCCTTAAGCCTTAATTCTCAAAAATGTGGTCCCTGGTATGGGCACGGAAGTTTTTCTGATGTGCATTGTGGTCGGCCCAATGGCAAAGCACTGTTGATTTGTGTTGTGACAGTCTTCATCTCGTGAGTGCAATGCATAATATAGTTATGGTATGAGACTCAATAGGAGCCGTATTACTGTTCTGATGATTGTTACTGTATAATAAATGCATTTGAACGGAATTCCTGTCTGCAGGTGGCATTTGAGTACGGAGAGAGTGGCTACGACAAGCTGATTCTGGACCTTTTTGGCGAGGGGTAGCTGCAGGAGTGGGGAGGGCCGCTTCATTTTCTGGGCTGATTCAGCCTCCCGTCTCTAACTTCGAAGGGCTTTGGCTCCTTGTCATCCCCGCCTCCGACAATACAGAGAAGGCGACCCACTTGAGGAGCTCTATCCCTCGCTGGAGGACGTGAGAAGCTGGTGAGCTTGATTGCCAGATTGCCAACGCATCAAAATCCATGTGAGCTACGTATGGATTGTTCAGAGGCCCTGAGCCCAGAAAGCGCAAAGAAGCCACATGCATTTTCTGTGCATCCCAATATCTTCCACAACATCAGTAACATGGGCTGCATGTGATTTGCTTGATAATCCCTTTGAGCGCGCACATGAAGCGTAATGGCGAAGATAATCCTTCAAGTATCATGGAATCATCAGAAAGCTACCAGAACCCTGACCCCACATACGGGATGTATGGTAAGGAGCTCTTTAGTGTGTTTCCTAGTTTTGTAGGGGTCCCTATCTTGATCTCCCCAATTCGAGTCTTACTACTTTGCGGGGCCGGGGCTTTTGTCCCACGGTTTTTCTTCCCCGGCCTGTACATTTGCGGGATTTTCAGTGCTAAATAGACTTTTGGTATCTCCCCTACTTAAGCTAAACCCGTGTAGCACAACTTCAAGCGATCTGAGAGCGCTTGTGCATGACATTCAAGCTAACCACATCATACTTAACTCCCAACAGTTCTGGATTATCAGGTATGTTCAGAATTGTTGCAGAGTCTAGTGTTTCTTCAGAGGTTAGGTCCCAATCTTGCATAGTTTCTGGTGAGTTTTCTTGTGTGCCAAGGCTTCGCTTGCGCGATGGACGGGCGCAGGCGCTGGGGTCTGCGCAGTCTAACGTTCGTTTACGTCCTAACAAGAACAAAAGCAACAGTCATGAGAACAATTAGAAGAGTAACAGACAAATTGTCATTGTAGTAATGTTTCAGGCAAGAATCCTTCAGGCTGACATGTGTTCACTCGATAGGCGACCATGTATTGCAGCACAATTTACCATAAGATCGCGGTAAAATAGTTGAGTCAATATCTCAAATTTTGGGTTTATGCGGTCGTTCTGACTAGGATCCAGATTGCGTTGGGCTGGCATAACATAAACTCTTGCAGAACACTCCCCAGAGTAGTCCAAAGTGCAATCCCGTGAGCATCCCTGTGAGTTGCCGTGAACCTGAGACAGTTTTCTAAAGCCTGAAAGCCCGAAGCCTTTAACGTAAAGCTTCAAGGCCCAAAGCCTGAACCAGAAGCTCTCAACCCTCCAAACCAAGGCCCGTAAACCCTCTGCAAACTTTCGATTGTGGACAACAGGTCCGAAAAAACAAAAACTCCTTATGGAGGTCGCGCCTCGGGCTCTCGGGTTCGCTTCGCGCTCCCCACCCCAGTGCCCTCGGTGCCAACGCGCCGGCCCCAACGGGGCCTGGGAGGCCTGGCCTAGGGTTTGGAGCTCAGGGTGTAGGGATAATGGAAAAGAGAATGGAAACTACAGTGATGTAATGGGGTATATATGGGGGTTATATAGGTGTTATTTAGGGATACTGGAGAAGAAAAGGGAAACTACTATCTAAGGTTTAGGGTTTCACGGTTCAGGGTTCAGGCGCAGGGTTAACGTGACATTTCAGGTTTGGGTTGTGGACAAAACAAATAAAGGTTCCGTATTCAGGTTGATCAGGGTTTTTGGTTGAAGGATGAGGGATGGGGGTCAAGGGATGAGGGTGAGTTAAAGTTAAGGGCTGAGGAGTTAGTGTGTCGTGTAGTGTCTTCTGTAAAGCCAAATCTCTTTGATTCTTGGCCAGCTTCTGATGCGTCCTGCAGCGGACATGTGTCCTCAATAGGACCATTATGAGCATTATGATTATTACCGTCCACATCGTCTTTGTTATTATTGTTAAGTCTCTTGCAGTTGGTGCCGCCGTTTTTTTTTTCAAGGTTGGGGTTGAAGTTTTCCTAGGCGAAAATGCGTATAAAGATCTAGTTGCCCTTACTTCAGACAGGTCTTTCAACACGTGGGTGCGGAAGGCGCATGACAAGATTTCCTGCCAATCCTCTGATATGATGCTGGCGCATCCATGTCAACAAACATGCCAATTGTTGCGAAGGCACCATCTTTTAATGCAAGTGCCAATGCTCAGGCCCCCCAACCAAAATGTTACTACGTGAGCATCGTACCTGGACCACATATACCACATGCATGCGGGCGGTTAGCAAGTGCATGCCCATTTTTGGGATTCCCAAGTAGCCCCATATGTCACCAGCATATCCCTTCCGTCCCTGCCAGTGTCCCCAGTTGATCAATGCTCGCAGTCAGGCGAGCAGCGCGCAAGAGATCTGCTTGATGCTATGGAGTGAAAAAGATGTTCCTCAAAATGCACTGCTTGAGCCATTGTTGAGAGCGTTGAGGGTCTGGAATTTTCGGGCTTGGGGAGGGTTTTTAGATGGTATAGCGATCGGAGCTTAGCAGCCTTTGCCAGTGGCTTGAAAGGCAGGGGCCCACCGGCTACAAAGTGAGAACTCATCACAGAGACCGTAAGTTAGGGACCGTGAGTCAACTCAGGAATTTGCATCAGTCATGAAGAAGGGATGAGCTGCTAGGTGTTCACGTGCTGATAACCTTTTGACGTTTGCAAGCAAAACATGGAGCACACGCTGCTTGTGCCGTTTGGCTTATAGCAGAGGGGCCGATTCTGCCACAGTTTGGCGCTTCTGTCCCACCCATGGCGGCGGGCATGTCTGCACCGTATGCTCAGGCGCTGCTGGATAGAATGGTGGCTTTCCCGGAAGGTTCCGTGAGCACAGACACGTTGCCGAACAGGTCGCGAAAGCTGAAGCTGCCGAGTCCACCCTGTAGATACAAGGTGGTTTCCATGTCCCTGGGTGGTCAGGGCCTTTCAGGTGTGAGCTTAGCTGGAGAGGAGTTGTTTCTGCTTCCAGAAGAGCAGCTGGCTGCTGATATGCTGCTGGGTCAAGTATTGGAAGAGATCGCGGGGCTTCTGAATCCTGGATCACATTTAGAAGATTGCATGTCAGTTGTTGTTGGAGGAAGAGCCGAACGATCCACTCTAGTACTTCTCAACCTCACTTTGGGAAGACTCTTTTTCGCTGTTGGTACAACTGCTGTTCTACTTAACATGTCTGGTCTCTTCATAGGTTTCAGGAGAAGCAGACCCAGACCAGGCACATCGATGCGGCCGGCCTGACCTGTGTACGGGATGAGAAGACAATCGGGGTCGAGACGACTTGGCAGGATGTGAAGGACTGAAGTGCTGGATGTATGTGTCTTTGTGTCGGAACGAATCGGAGGCAGCAACTAGGTTGATCTGCCCTTGGTGTTTTATGCTTCTTCTCCGCAATCTGCAGGAAGCTCTTCCAGAAACAATGTTGAAAATGGACCTGAACCACCACGATGTGTTCCCGTTGGTTTGCAGGAAGTCCGATGCGCGCTTCTTGGAAACTGGGGTGCGATTCATTTTGATTCTTACTCATTGCTCACCCCAATTCCCACAAGTTAGGATATGAACAATCTTTCTGCTTTGATCTAGCCCTTTATCTAGTCCCAAGAACAGAGCCTGAAATCCTCAGGAACTTCCTTTGGGTGAAGGCCATGTCCGAAACGAGGATGCCAGATTCCGCGATCTGCAAGCCACAGTGCAAGTCATTGAAGACTATCGGCGCTTTGTGACGCGAGCGCAGGACAAGATTATTCATGTTCTTTCGATTGACTTGCATCATGCAATGCTGCTCTTATTCTGATTGCGGCTATTTGTGACAGGCTTTCTGCGCTTTTTCCTACTGCACTACCGCCTCCATTACTAAGACCACCGCGGTATTTCAGGGGCCCACATGGGGCACCATCACCACCGCCACCACCACTGCCGCCACCGCCGCCAGCGCCACCAGCGCCACCACTGCCACCACTGCCACCACCGCCACCACCGCCACCGCCAGCGCCAGCACCGGCACCTGCACCAACACCATCACCAGCAGAAGCACCAGCAGAGTATTACAAGGTGTTGGAAAAAACGATTCTTTTTGGACGCAAGCCGAAAGTGTTGAGAAATTTCATGATTTGTGGGGTCACGAGAGCTACTTTGTACTGTTGCGCAAACCCCGTTTTCCCAGAAAACTTACAGTTCAGGAGTCGGACACAACCACGATACCAGCGGGGTCATAATCCGGATTATCATGAGGCTTCCACCCATCTACAGTTTTTAAAAACGAGCAGCAAGGCAGTCAGGAGCAAACTCCAAAGCTGCAACTCGCAGGCAGCAACCCCAATGCAAATTCCATGACATCGAGGGCCAATTGGAGATAATATTACGGATGCCCGTCCTGCCCGAGTTCGGGCATGATTGCTGATACCTTCTGCACAAGCAGCGGAAACCGCAGACAATCCTAGTAACCCACGGTCTTGATTATGGTTTGCGATATGGAGGATCTGTGGCCAAATGCAATGAGGGATGCGCGCCATTGTGCTTTGAGCAGGGATGCTCTGGCTTCTGGGGTTGGACGTTATGATTCTTATGGGTTTAAATGTGCCTGCGCTAGTCCAAGGTAAACTTCCCCACAAACAATTCACATCCAGAGGCAAAACTCATGCAGTCAACCTGAACGAATCTGACCCTTCCCCGCCTGGATGGTATCAAGCCACAAAGAAGACTTGTTCTGCACAGTGTAATATTGCTTTGCCTGCTCCTGCGGCTATTACCACCACCACTACTCATGCTTGTGCTGCTTCAACTGCTTCTGAAAGTGCTTTTGCTGTTGCCACTGCACTGCTCTGCAGGACAATGGCAATCACCACCTCTTGCATTATGGCAGGGCCGGAGTTCTTGCTAATAGGATAACTCCAGCCCTCAGAGGCGACCTCTTCATTCCAATTGGCTACTTTCCCATGGCCCCGGTTTGGCAGATGCCCCCGGATGCCAAGCGGTGGGGTCAGAAACTGGATGTTTGGAGCTGCACGACGAGCCTTCCTGAGATCAAGAGCCTGCTGGATGCCCACGCTGAGAAGACGAATGATCGGCCCATACCCCGCTACCAGATGATGCTTGACACGTAGTGGGAACCATGTGTACATGGCTTCTTTCCTGCTTTGCTTTATGTGGCCATCCTCAACGTAGTTGGGCACAGTGCAGGATTGTGGATCCCAACCAATTTGTTCGTGAGACGGAGGAAGGGCCCGTCTGGGTCCCCTGTGAGTTTGATGTGGATGCAGATGGCGCTGCCCACTTGGTTGGAGGCTGATGCGAGCTCAATCCGTAATTCAACCTTGGAGCTTAGATGGCTAATGGATTGAAGCGGGTAATTATGTGCAATCAGGTTCTCGCGTCAACAGAACTGTCTAGACTCAGAGCTTCTCTTCTGCATTTTGGAACCGCATGGTGTCAGAAGCCATCGTGTGCAGTCTCTCACGCCCGGCTATACAACTTGGATTCCTAAACGGTATACTATGCACCCTGAACACCTTCCAATCCGCAGGCTCTCGCAGCCACCGCAATCCCGGCTTGGCCGCTAGGGTGGCGCAACCTGTCTTGGAGGCAAAGCTGGTCTGTCCCTTATGCCCCGGCAACAAGCCAATTTTGTGAGGCGACCTCATTTGAGGTTTGCCTAAATGCCTTAGATGCCCTCAAACGGAGTGGTATCTACAGGAGCTTTCAAGTAGGCTCATAGAACAGAGCACGCGAATCATGTTTATGGTACGGTACGGTTAAGGAGGACCATAGTGTCAACATAGAAGTCACGCACATGCATATCACTTCTAACGAAACGGACAGTGAGACACTGCAACACAACATGTTGGGATGCTTTTTGGAGAGTTGCGGCTACGAATATGGAGCCATAGATCCCAAAACAAGTTTTACAACGGGTATCTTTAGATCTGCACTCTCTCTCTCTCTCTCTTTCTTGAGTTGTTGAGATGGACTTGGGTGTGTCGATTGCCACGGACTGGCTCCGTTGAAGTCGTCATATACGCGGGGAGCTGACACTGGGGGTTGAGAGCGTGGGCTGCTTCAGTGGAGCGGACAAAACATGTGCTGCGTCCTTCTCTTCTGATGTTGGACATTGTTGGACCCTAGACATGGGGGATGCAACCCTAAACTGGCTGATGACGATACAAGGAAGATCGTCGTTTTTTGCTTGTTTTAAAAGCCCTGAAGCCGCAGGGTTCACCTTCTCAAGTGTGACAGAAGATGGATCATGATCGCATTGGTGTTCATAAACGGATTCAAGACGACAGACGGCGCAGCTTGCCCTTTCCTTGCGTTCTGGCCTGACTGGGCACCACCTGCCTGGTCAAAGCGCAGCGGGTAGCCGCCAGAATCGCAAGAATTGTGCAAAAGCTTTATCTGCACAGCTCTGTGTCTGTTGCCCCTCTGTTCCCAGGGCTGTTTGAGAAACGTGTCTGCAAGCTATCGAAGCGTGCATGCCTGCACCAGTGCCACCACCACCGCATTCCCTGACTGCGTCGTGGTTTCGAAATGCCCTGAGATGCGTGAAATGCAGGGTTCAAGCGTGCTTCTCTCCGACATGGACAGAGGTTGTCGCCTGCGCTCCAGGCGGAAACCGACGAAAGAATCTGTGTGTTTGTAAAGAGCGTGTGGCCGCGAAGGGGGGTCTGTGCCAGCTTGTTTTAGTCTTCATGGCTCTCTGAGCGGTCTACATTGAGCGGCTCGGCGCCTGTAAAAGATATGGGAGATGGGCTGGCTGCGGCTCGCTTATGTAGGAGTTCACAGCACCAGCAACCTTCCATCAGATGCTTGTTCCAGCAACTGAGAGACCACTTGCAAGGGTTTCTGTGGGTGGAACTTTTCATGACGTCTTTTCTTGCGCAACAGCTATTGTAAGGATGTTGCCTTGTCATTGCTTGAAATTCAATGCCAGGCATGTGTATTTCCCTGATCTTGGAAGCAATCCCTGTAAACGTACCGTAGCTCGCAAGGCCGCGCTTCCGTTACTCGCCAAACTCCGGCGTCCGCAGCTGCTGCTGGACAACCGTCGAATCCAGGCAGGGAGCGATTCCAAGAAGCTGGAATTCTTGCTTGGAGTGTCCTCATGAAGGGTCGAAGTTCAGAACAATCAGCCGATTTCTGAGACAGGGGAGGTTTTGACGGAAAAGGTATTTTCATTTGGGCATCAACGTGTCCAGGCTTTCGGCAAGCATCGCATGCTAGGTGGTGTTCAAGGCCCAGCGCATCATCGTGCCTGCAACTGTGTCGAAGGGTTCGGATTCGGAGTACGTTGGCCTTTGGCATGTTGACGGCTGCCGCGAGCATATCGCCGCGGTGGTCCTGCAGCTTGGGCGCAAATAGGTGTGTCCCTCTCAAACACCACTTGGTTTTGGAAATAGTGTGGATCTCTTGATTCCGTTAATCCCCACATCTGGTACAATGTCAGTTTCCAATGCATGTGTACATGCCTCCAGGGGCACCTCCATTAATTATAACTAACATATAGACACGGGCAGTGTGTTTGTGGGCATGAAAGGTATTACTACCATGTGGATGAGAATTTGGAGGGCGGCGCCATGGAGTTCTGCGGTCGAGAGCCTTTAGATGTCCTGGGCTGGGGAGACTGCAGCAACAACTACTACAAGCTGACAAAAGAAGGTGCCTGGGTGTCCAACTTGCTTGTTGTATCTTGTGCAAGCCAGTCAGAGACTGTAGAAGCAGTAGCGATAGAGGCAACATCACAAGTAGGAATGATGATGCCAGCTAGAGCAGCTTAAAGTAAGAAACATCCATGGCTGCATGATGAAAGCTGCCTTTGTTGTACCAGTGTCTGGGTCAAGCAACTCTGTTTGCTTCCCTTCATGCGTGCATTTGCATTGGGCAACCCAAGTAGTTTAGGCGTAGAACATGCAAAGCTCTTCTGCTGATCTCCCCCTGCAACAGTACGACTTTAGCTCAGAGACCGAACATGTTGAAAAATGCCCGAATGGATTGCCTAAATCAGAAGCCTGTTTCAGCATGCGGCGGCACCAGGTATGATTTGGGTTGAAAAATGGAATCCCGATTTTGGAAGTTCCCCCCCATGCATTTCAGAACAGCTGGGGCATCGCCTGCCCAGGCCTACGTGCAGCCCTGCGGACAGACGAGACAAAGAGTGTGGCTTGGGTGTTGGGGTTTGGGGTTGATGAGTTCTACGTCAATTCTGTTTCACATGTCGTTTTCATGTGGGAGCTTCTCCAAGCGGTCCCTGCACACAACTTTTCAGAATGCAAGGGTTCAAAGGTGCCGTGAACCCGACACCTTGTTTCTCGCTGCGAAACCATCCAGCCCCAGGAGGATCCCTGCGTCCCTACTTGATTGCCCCGCAGAGGTGGAGAACTGCCGTGTGCCCATCTCTACGGGCCGCCTTCTAGTTTTCTCCAATTACCAGGCTTGGGGCTCGTTTTTTTTTTCATTTGGTTTTGTCCTTCTGCTTTCTCTTGCTGTTTTTTTTGGGTGGTGGTTGGGCCAATTGGGTTCCGCGGGGCTTGGCAGAGTGTACCCTGATCAGACGAACAAGGAACCCGATATGTGCCAGGCTAAAATGGACACGTAGGTTTTTGGTTTTTTCACGGTTCTTTGGGCTTCCGTGTTCTACAAAGCAATCGTACCAGGACGGGCACAGGCCGGTAACGGCTTTTGCCATCTGGTAAGGTTATGAGAGGGATTTGTAGGAGGTAGATTTTCCGAATCGTTGCCCGCTTTCAAGTGTAACATGGAGGGGTAACCCGACTTTCCGATGAGGGTAGGCATCTGATTGGGAGGTTCACTTTGGGTCTGGCTTTGGTTCATCTAGAAATTTAGCCCCCATATAACCCCTATATCGTAGTTTCCATTTTCTTGTCCATTATCCCCATATAACCCCAACATAACCTGGTTTTGTGGGAAATCCGAACCACAGACCTTCGCTGCTTGGCCAGGTGGCCCACCGAGTTCTCCGGATGGTGAACCGCGGAGCTGCAGAGGCCTCGCGGGACTTCGTGGCCCTTTTTCTGGTGGACCCGGCGAAGCCCCTAGTTCCAGCGAGGTCAGTGCTCTCGGAGTCTGGGTCAGGATTGAGTGGTGGGGTTGTAGCGAGGAGTTTGTCGTGTCTCGCAGAGTTTTTATCACCTTCAACAGGGTTATCTCGCGGCAATGTAGGAGTCTTGCAAGTTCGTGGGCACTTGGAGGTTCATGGGCAGCTCGACGTCTTTTTCCTTTGTCAGAACAGTTGGAAATGCCACTTGTCACAATCCTGACCAACCATAAATCCATAAATGTTGATAAAGCCTTTTCGCTAGAACCTTGAAATTCCAAGTAAAGCCACTGGCGCTCCAGGAATCAGCGCTGCTTGCCAGGACGCTTGCCACAGCTCTGACGCCTATGCTGCAATCAGATAATGTGGTTTCTGCAACATGCTGGGTCCCAGTTTGGGGTTTCCAGCTAAAATGTGCGTCCGGTTGTTTTAGGAGGACTCACTTTGCACTGGCTCGTGCCTGGAAGCCTCAGGTATGGAACACCACAGCCGTCAGGGCAACTGGGCAAGGCATAATATCTTGTTGTAGGGTTGAACAGCCTTCGGTCTTCGGTTGCGGCATTTTCTTGCGTTTGGCATTTGTGGCTTCAGGGCACTTGGGGTCCTAAAAGTCTTTGTCGGGACATACTGCCATGCGTTTCAGGCTTTGAGACCACAGCGCCCCCACTTCCACGAAATCTTCACCCAAAGCCCAAGCCTTAACGATGGCTTATGGCGTCGCTCCTACGGATGATGCTGTGGGTGCCCTCGCGTGACTGTCTTCAGGAAGGCATTTGAAGTCCTCCGCATCCTGCAGTTCCTGGGTGTGCTGCGCACCACCAGCGATGCCAGGCCGAGGGTTTGGAGAGTGCAGGTATGGAGTGTGCAGGGTTCGAGGGTCGAGCTATGTGAAGCGGACGGGCCAGGCTCTCAGGGCGTAGGCTTTAGGAGTTTTCAGATGTCAGATGTTGGTTTGGTGGGGTTCAAGGTGGCCCCCACAATACGCAGCAAGTCAGATGTCACTCTGCGCCTGATGACCTCATTCTTTGATATGGCTAGCCGCGGAAGGAGTCAGCAATGGGAAGCCAGATACAGGGCGGTCGGGTTATGTCACGTCGGCTGTTTTGATTACACGTCGAGCAGCGTCCACACTGGGGTACCCAGTTCAAAAGCATTCACTAGGATAGATGTCATGCCAAAGCAGTTCTTGCAACTGTGCTGTTTCCACAGCGTCCACAGGGTTTCAGCTCATGATGCGGCATGTTTGCATGGCATCGCTGTATGTATCAAGCAGCGTCCACACTGGGGGACCCAGTTCAAAAGCACTGACTTGAATAGATGTCATGCAAAAGCAATTCTTGCAATTGTGCTGTTTCCACAGCGTCCACAGGGTTTCATGATGCAGCATGTTTGTAAGGCAGCGCTGTATGTATCAAGCAGCATCCACACTGGGGGGCCCAGTTCAAAAGCATTCACTAGGATAGATGTCATGCAATTGTGCTGTTTCCACAGCGTCCACAGGGTTT